GTGAATATTGTCATAGCAGCAGTAGCAGAAGTTTTGTTGTGTTGGCCTTATCGCACTGCATACATTGCGGACAGATTTACCTATCGTAATGGGTCTATTGACTTGTTGTGCCACTCGCGTCTGGCGTAGACACCGTGTTAGAGTAAAATAGGCATTCGCCTAGCTACTTATGCCTAATTTATGGATTTCTCAGCAGTTCAGTCTCTTGTGCAGTAGCAACAGCTTGCATAGGCATTCAGTCAACGAGATTTTTCTCAGCAGCAGCATGCACAGCATTTCTATGTTGCAAATTTTAATTCGGACACAATTAATATAAAAGCAGACAACTGCATTTAAATATAGTCACTGTAGTGTCCTGCTCAAGACCATCTTGGAACGAGCCATGACTTTAGCATTGATGTGTTCATACAATACAAACATTATTGTTCTTAATATGCAATATAAATATTTTAAATTATCAAAATAAATGAGCAGCTGCTTTTGAGGCAGAATTAATCCTGGGCATATGACACCACAACTACAGGGTGTACAGTGATTTATTCTTTAGCCAAATATTTTATTAGCTTATTAATAAGTTAAAGGTAAGTATTTCCATTGCAGTAATGCTGATGAACGTTAATGGGGGAAAAAAATAAATAAATAAAATTACAACTCTTGAATGACAAATTTAAAACTATTTGCTCAGGCCGCCCGAGCCTGAGCCAGGTGGTTGCTGGGGGTAACGTCTATCATCTATCACCCCATTACAGTGTGATTCCTGTTTGTTAACGACACGCAGATCACGTTTCTACCTAGGTAAGTTTGAGCTATTGGCTCAGACACACATAGTTATTTAAGTCATTAGTTAAATAAAACTAAGGGTACAGCACCCAGGTTTACATCGTTAAGCCACTAGTTAATTTATCTGGGCTCCATTAGCCCAGAAACACATTTAACTCAGGTCACTAGTTTAAGCGCAGTATGTATTAAATACTCACTGCACCGTATCGCCGTATGCATTGGCATTAGCAAGTTACTGTACTTGCTTGCAGCAGCAACAATAATCTACAACTACAGCAATAGTTTAGTCATGAACTCTAGATGGTGCAGGCTGATGGGTCGTTAACTTAACTGATATTCAGAGAGTTAAATGACTTGGCACAAGCTGATTGGTTCATGCTGCATATGCAGTAAACTAACTTTCCTCTTTCATTCATAGGGTTCCACTTTGAATTCTGTAACGTCAGTTTTTTTCTCTTTCCTAATGGGCAAACTGTTGTTGCTGTGCAGTTCAGTGCTCATTCAGTAAATGCACAGCTAAACACATGTTTTAAGTCTAGATTTAAATGTGGCTACTTTTTTAGCACATCTGATGCCTTTTGGAAGCTGTTTCCTGCAGGTGCAACTGTAGGTGGCATAATAGCTAAAAGTAGACTCCCCTTGTTTTGAGTGAATCCATGAGGTCCTAGGCAATTGAGTTGTTTATAATCAAGTAATAATATTTTAAAATTAATCCAAAATGTTTATGAGATGATAATATGCTGATTTAGTTATTGCTTTGACATGACTACTGAAATTAAGGTCTGACTCTAGAATCACATCAAGAATTTAGTCTCACTCCGCCTGCCCTCTGCCTGGACTACTGGCAGTACAGACTAAGTACAGCCGGAGATCAACAGACGGCCTAAGTTTCCTTTTTGTTAATAAACTATTTGTTTTTACCTAGAGGAGAGGAGTTCCTGGACACCTGCCATCCTGCCCGCTGTGATGAGGTCTGCTTGATGGAGGGATTTCGTTACGGGCTGGACAACGACATTCCCTTTGTCATGCCCCACGGGTAAACTATAAAGAGCTACATCAACTTCACACTGTGGATGAAAAGCTCCGCATTCACGGTTGACGAAGCAGATGACAAGGATTACATCAGCATCCAGCCCCAACCTGCAGACCTCTAGTTGTCATCCCGTGCAACACTCATTGTACGCCTCAGCCCACCACAGACACGGAGTCTGTCTTCTTCACTGGCTTCATCCAGCCCTTGCCTTCTGTCTTCACTGTTTATCTCCAGCCCCGAATCTTCTCTTTCCCAGCCTGTTTCCTGTCTCTCCTCTGGTTCCGTCCAGCCCTAAACCTTCTGTGTCTCCGCTGGTTCTGTCCAGCCCTAAACCTACTGTGTCTCCACTGCTTCCGTCCAGCCCTAAATTTTATGCGTCTTCGCTGGTTCCATTCAGCTCTAAACAGCCTCAAGTCCCGTCATCTCCACCATGGACTGTACTCTACATGCTGCGCCAGTCTTCCTTATCCCTCTGGCACCTCTTTGGACAAGCATCCATCTACCTCCACCTTCTATGCCTGCAAAGCACTCAGTCTTATCTCCGCTGCCACCTGTCATCCCCTCAGCCTGCCATCACCTATGTGGGTTTGTACCGAGTTTTCTGGTGACAAGCTCCACTCCCCTGTCTCTGCCTTCAACCACTGGATCCTTGACACCACCTCAGTCCTGCGACCCATCGACTCCACCTTGGCTCCTAGCTCCCTCGTCTCCACCGTGGCCGATCATCCCACTGTCTCCACTCATCCCTCCAGCTCCACCTTGGTCAGTCGTTGACCACCCACCGCCTCAGGATTCCACTCCTCTGGCTTCACCTCCATCCTCCTGGCTCATTCAGTTTCCTCCTTCCCTCCGGCTTTACCCACATCCTCAGTCACTCCGGCTCCACCGTGGTCTTCCAGAACCACTTCTTCACCTCGGTCACAGTAGCCTGCTGCTACGGGATCCTCTGTGTCGCCCAGGCTCCGTGTCTGCTTGGGTCTCCATCGCCGGCATCATCGAAGGAGCTCGAATCCCTGGTTCCACCTCCCAGGCCTCCACCATGGCTCCTCCCTCCAGCAATTCCACCGTGGAGCCTCATCCTGGCTGGGCTCTGGTTGTCCGCTACTTGGTTCATCCTCCTCAAGTCCTTTATCCACCCTCTGCAACTCCCAGCTGTTCCCTGGCTCCTTCCTGCTTTGGTGCCTCCCTGGTCCTGTTTGCTCCATTCTCCATCTCTTCCCTTCGCCACTCCTGTTTTCTGTCTGCCCTACTCTTCTGCCATCCCTTCGCCCACTCCTTGGACTCTGTATGTTCACCATCCCTTTGCCCACTTCTGCCTCCTTTATGGACTCTCTATTGGTGCGAGATCGCACCTTTCCGGAGGGGCAATCTGTCACGGCTTAATTCTGTTTTAGTGTTGTTTTTGTCCTATAACCTAGATTTCCTTGTGTTCCTGTTTTTAATTAGTTAATTTGCACACCTGTGTTGGTTTTGAGTTGATTACCCAGTGTATTTCTAGCCCTGTGTGTCTTTGGTTTGTGTTCAGTCTAGTCGCTTCATGGTTGTGTGATACCCTGTTCGCTCTGTTTATTAAAAGTGTTTTAAGATTACATCTCTTCTGGTCGTGCCCTCTCTTCCCACACACGCTGTGACAGTGTCAAAGGTCATTCCACCAAGAACAAAGCTATCTAACCCTGCTTCTGGAGGGTTTCATACACCTATGCCCCTGTCTGTTATTTTCAAGTAATCCGGAAGACTTCGGATGGTTCATAAGTAATTGATTAGAGTCTGAGCTAAAATCTGCAGGGCAGAATGTTAGCCTTCCAAAGAACAAGCCTTGGCACAGGGTTAATTCCTTGGTGCTTCTAATTACCCTGATGACTAGAACACACTGTTTCATGTGTTGGCTGTAGCACAGTGTGGTAGGCATATGATCCCCTTAGCACCAGCTACTGACACAGCATCAAAGTGACTTGAAAGGGATTAAAATTTCAACATAAACATAACCTTGTTCCCCTCATAAGAGAGAAGGAGAAGCTGCCTATAGTTGCCGCACAACTGATAATGCACTGTCAGAGAGTATGGTAATACTCAAATATGGAGTGGATTGTCAAACATAATCTGCATTGGCGCTATGTTAAACAGCTTCAGAGATCACTCAAGGTTAGAGTTGCCATAGTGCCAGCTACCTATGCAGCAAATTTTTCCCTACTTCCAGGGAAGTACTACCAGTTACTAAGAAAAATGACCTAACTACATTGAAGCTACCCAAGGAAGCAACATCTTAAAAATATAACTAGCTGATTCTATAGTTTACAATACAGCGGATGATATGATTTAATAATAGCTGTAGTTGTCTGGGATAAAAACAATGATGTTTTTTTTCATTTTCAAGGGAAATAACATCAAATTGGACTGATGAATTTACATTAAATACAGCTAAAATTTAAATACACACCAATTTATTATTTTTACATTATATTTATACTAACTTTTATATATATATATATATATATATATATATATTTAAGTGTTTATGTAGTTAATAAAGTTTTGTATCACACTTGACGTTGTTCATTGTTTGCTCATAACTGGAGTCCCTAATCATGCAGATTTATGCTACAGGCTCTGTGTAGAGTTGTACAGTAAGAAAGTTATTTCCCTTAACCAGGAAATTAACGTTCTTAGAATTGACAGACAGTTGACCCTGAGAGGTCAAGTAAATATCTACAGCGGATCTAAATATTTATAATTAATTATAACTAGTTATGATTAATTATTCATATTTCCCCATGAGCTGATTCGCTACAATTACATATGAAAGGGAGGCCATTGTTGTAAAAAATAGCTTCTTACTGAAAAAGCTACACTATTTTGAAAGCAGCAGAGGCACTCTCACACTACTGAAAAAATGTTTAGTCGTCAAGTTAGCAATATTGTTGCTTTTCATTCGTTACTTCACCAACACTGGCATTTACAGTCTCTTGCAAAACATTTATTGCACATTAGTTATTGTTGTACTATTGCTCTACTGCATTTAGACTGCAATATGAACTCTGTCATGGAAGATATAAATTGCTAACTGATTGGTCAGTTGGTCTGGCATCACAAAAAGGTTGATGCGTGATAGTCCGGTTCGAGTGCAGAGGTAAGCTATCTCCACCCCTTTATCAGAATTCCTACCAGGACAAAGAGAACCACAGAAACACATAATTAATAATGAAGTGTACAAGAAACAATTATTGAATTAAAATTATATAGTTAAAGTCAACATGAAATGGTATTCATAACCCATTTGACCTCTCTATATATTTTACAAATGGGGAATTAATTGGATGCTGTAAAGAAGGCGTTCCACACTTTATTGGCAGGATTTTACAAAAGGCTGAGAAAAGGCTACTGAAAAACAGTAGCTGCTTGGTTAATATATATAGTTTTTTTTAAGTTGCTTCAGAAGCCAGGCAATATATTACATGGTGATGAAAGATTATAACGACATTTTGGAATAACATGCACTATAGAAATGTATTAAGAAAATATGTACTGCTCTTACTCTGATTTATTGAGAGCGAGACTGGTCCAGTATGCTTCCAGTGGTGCTGTGACCACAGCATCAAATAGAACTTCCTGGATCAGATCCTTATCACCTTCCAAAACAATCAAGATACTAACAAAATAATTCCCTCCCTCCCCCATACACACACACATACATCATGCTCTAATATATTTTAATATATCTTCAACTCTATAATATATATTTTAAAGAGTTGCTGCCCATCATGAAACTGCATCCAATAGTATATATTTTTTATGAAGAATACATAAACTTTGGGCAACACAAAAAACAAAGCGGAGTCTTCAAAACAAGTGTTAGTGTTGATATGCATTCAACTTACACTTCAGATGTGGTACCCCATTAAAATACAGCTTGATGGCATCAATCTGAGTTAGGAAATTGTGTTCTGGATGTTCCTCTGTGTTACAGTATGTCCTGAAAAGTCAAACCAGACTCCTTTTAGACTTTTAGACTCCTCAAAAAGCTACTTTAAAGACACTGAATAAAACATTTTAAGATACTACTGTACCATTCATTCGCTAATAAAACATCTGGATGCTCCAAATCATGTAGTCCTGAAAGAGAAGAAACATCTGTGTCATGCTGTTGCTTAATGCTGCTTCAGGTTCATACTGTATGACATGATATAGCCCAGCAGGATATGATCCTTAAATAGCAACATCCGGTAATGAGGAATATCAATACTAATTCCTAACAAACAATCTGATCTGCACACCTAACCTAGGCTTAAAATCAGTAAGAAATGATTGGTGGATAAGAATATTGTTCAAACCCCCAACCACAGCCGTAAGCCTAAGCTTCGTCTTCTGAAATGAGAGGTCTCTCTGCATTTGATTATTAGTCTATTAAATGTTAAGTACTAGGACTTTGACATGTAATCATCTAGCTATCATGTTATAGCGCAAGCTAATTGGCAGCTGCTGTATTTGCAGCTAATTAGCTTGCTTGCTTATACACTCAATGTTCCTCTGATATTCTACATCCCACAAAGATAAGTGAAAGATGTATATATTATCTTAAATAATCAAACATTATTGTGTAGTCTACAACAATCCTTTCCTTAAATAAAGCAATCAAGCATACAGGTGCATCTCAATAAATTAGAATGTTGTGGAAAATTTCATTTATTTCAGTAATTCAACTCAAATTGTGAAACTCGTGTATTAAATAAATTCAATGCACACAGATTGAAGTAGTTTAAGTCTTTGGTTCTTTTAATTGTGATGATTTTGGCTCACATTTAACAAAAACCCACCAATTCACATCTCAACAAATTAGAATACTTCATAAGACCAACAAAAAAATTCCAGCAGGATTTGGCACCTGCCCACACTGCCAAAAGCACCAAAAGTTGACTGGCCAGCAAACTCACCAGACCTGAACCCCATAGAGAATCTATGGGGTATTGTCAAGAGGAAAATGAGAAACAAGAGATCAAAAAATGCAGATGAGCTGAAGGCCACTGTCAAAGAAACCTGGGCTTCCATACCACCTCAGTAGTGCCACAAACTGATCACCTCCATGCCACGCCGAATTGAGGCAGTAATTAAAGTAAAAGGAGCCCCTACCAAGTATTGAGTAAATGAACATACTTTCCAGAAGGTCAACAATTCACTAAAAATGTATGTTTTTTTATTCATCTTATGCAGTATTCTAATGTGTTGAGATAGTGAGTTGGTGGGTTTTTGTTAAATGTGAGCCAAAATCATCACAATTAAAAGAACCAAAGACTTAAACTACTTCAGTCTGTGTGCATTAAATTTATTTAATACACGAGTTTCACAATTTGAGTTGAATTACTGAAATAAATGAACTTTTCCACGACATTATAATTTATTGAGATGCACCTGTATATATGAAAATTAAAGATTGTGGGGGAAACCCTTTTCTTCAGTTCCACTGTTACAAATCATTACAATATTGTGGGACTGAGAGAACAGGGCTATGGGGGCGATGCCTCGGGTGGAGCAGATGCTTGTGGGCTATCTGTCCCCTGAGTCAACTTCTGAGGGCAGGAGCGGTGTACACCTCATCACACGGTTCCCCTCTCTCCTCAGTGCCCTCAGGAGATCGGTCTGTTAACCCTGCTACCACTGGTGCTTCAGGGCACACACTAGACCGGGGCTGTCCAAACTCGGTCCTGGAGGGCCGGTGTCCTGCAGAGTTTAGCTCCAACCCTAATTAAACACACCTGAACCAGCTAATCAAGCTCTTACTAGGCATAGAAACTTCCAGTCAGGTGTGTTGAGACATAAACTCTGCAGGACACCGGCCCTCCAGGACTGAGTTTGGACAGCCCTGCACTAGACAATTCGAGCAGACCACGAGACCACACACTTGTCGATTGTAGGAACAATTTCACAGTGACACGTGATCTCACGGACACTTGCGAGATCAAACGTGACTAGAAAAGAAAAACAATCAATGTTGTCAGCTGGCTCTCCTGGCGCGCGTTCTGTTTCACGGTGAAAAACAAAGTATAAAAAATAATATGGGTGATGTTCTCTGCTTTCATGGGATGTTTGTGGTTGCCAAGTTTCAGCTATAGAAGCACGCAACATCCGGTAGGTGACGCTTGGTCACTCTCATTGGCTATCGCGGGTATCACGTCAGAGGCAGCCCAATCAAGAGTTGATTCAAAAATCAACATGTTTGATATTTACGATTTGAGTTCAGGGACGCTCCGTCTCGATTGGGAACAGATAAATAATCATAATGACACCACACAATAGAGGATTTTTTGGACAAAAAATCGTTTGCGACAAGCCGCGAATTGGGCCACACCCCCTGATCGTTCGGGGATGCAAATCGGGTTTAAAATCGGCCTTAAAATCGTCTAGTGTGCGGCCAGCCTTATGGCAGATGCATCCCTTACGGCCTGGGAAGCGATCATGAGTGGTCGCTCAGCTCAGGGTCAGTGGAAAGACATGCATCTTTCATGGCACATCAATTGCCTGGAAATGTTGGCTATGTTTCATGCACTGAAACACTTTCTCCTAGACTTGAGAGGCCATCATGTGCTTGTCCGCACAGACAACACATCAGTGGTCTTTTACATTGTAACGGTCTGCGACCTTTCGTGTTGTGTGTGTATATGTTGTTTCTTTTAGTCTCTTCTCTGTTCTCACTCTCATGCTCTTAGGTACCGCCTTCCTTGGATTATATTGGCTATCTGTGCTGTCATTCATCATTAGTTAATTGACAACGCGTTTCCTTTGCCAATGGCGCTCTTGTCCGAGAGGTTCAAAAGGAGAACGTCAGCGGGAAGACGGGGGTGACGTTTTGTATTGTGACTGTTGTGTGCACTCGTGGAATGTGTTTGTGTTGCGCTCTTGGGTTTTAACGGCTGGCGATGCTATGCCGCTGTGTGATCGGATGTCTTTGTCAGCTCGCCGCTGGTTTGGAAGACAAGGAAGGAGTGGAAGAGTTTAGTAAGTCACGTGACCTACATACCTGCACGTAGGGATATTGGATGTATAGACACACCAGTTTATTTGTGTGCGCTTTTCTTGCATGTTTTGATTTTGTATATTCAGTGTAGTTTATGACGCTTTTGCGTTGAAGATTTTTTTTTCTTTCTTTTTCTTTAATAGTTTAGGGGTTTGGGGATTTAGTTAGATAATGGATTTAAGCGCCACTTTAACTTCCCTTCTTTTCCTTTGTCTTGTTTGTTTAACTTATTGTTCCTTGGGGGCAATAAATCTTTCTTGTAGTGCAGTTTCGCGTCATGTGTTCCATTGCCACTTATTTTACCTGGCTTAGTTCTTTAATGTCAACTTAATGTTACCTCTTCTAATCCCTAGATCAAAATTATCATCAGAGACGTAACACTAGTGATATTTTACCAGTAGGTCTTTTGGAGTGGGATACATTGATACTGAACTGACACGAAGCAGAGATCATAATTGTGAACTAATTCAATCATGAGCTTGTCACAGTGTAGTTTATGACGCTTTTGCGTTGAAGATTTTTTTTTCTTTCTTTTTCTTTAATAGTTTAGGGGTTTGGGGATTTAGTTAGATAATGGATTTAAGCGCCACTTTAACTTCCCTTCTTTTCCTTTGTCTTGTTTGTTTAACTTATTGTTCCTTGGGGGCAATAAATCTTTCTTGTAGTGCAGTTTCGCGTCATGTGTTCCATTGCAACTTATTTTCCCTGGCTTAGTTCTTTAATGTCAACTTAATGTTACCTCTTCCAATCCCTAGATAAAAATTATCATCAGAGACGTAACATACATCAACCATCAGGGGGGTCTGCCGTTTGCAGGTTGGCACACCAGATCCACCCATGGGCTCTGGGAAAACTGCTCACCCTGAGGGCAGTCTACCTCCCTCGGCACCTCAATCAGGGAGCAGACATCCTATTGAGGCAGGTGCTATGGCCACACCCCCTGACAAATATAGGCTCCACCCTGAGGTGGTGGAGTAGATTTGGCAGAGGTGGACTTGTTTGCATCTCAGGAGACGATACACTGTCCGCTCTGGTTATCCCTAATGCATCCAGCTCCTCTTGAACTGGATACCATGGTCCAGGAATGGCTGAGGCTGCGTCTGCTCCCAGAAAATCTGGAGAGAGTGCGCCATATGGTTCTTGGACCTGGTGGCCCTCCTCAACAGTTCTCCGTGGGAGATTCTTGGCCACACCCTTATATGCACACAAACAAAGAACACCACCTGGATCTGGACAAAAGAATGTGAACATGCATTTAACATCATAAAATAGGATTTAACACAAGCACTAGTTCTTATGCCACCCGATTTCCCTAAGCCTTTCCAGTTACAGACTGATGCTAGTGATGTTGGATTAGGGGCAGTGCTAGCACAAGAGCTGGATGGAGGAGAAAGAGTAATATCATATGCATCTAGACTGCTGTGGGGAGCTAAAATCGTCTATTCTGTGTCAAAGAAAGAGTGTTTAAAGGTTGTTTGGGCAGTTGAAAATGGAGGCCTTATCTGGAAGGAAGAGCTTTTGACATCATTACAGATAATTACAGGGAGCGCACAGACATAGCATACATTGAATAAGTCCTGGTTAAATAGGTAAATGGTAATGAGTATCTGAATCTGATTGGCTGGGTGCATTGAATTGAATGAACCAATTAGAATGCAAGTAGAGTATAATGGCTGAAATATTCATCTATAGTGTGGTTCGTTTATGTGCGTGTGTATTGTAGCATTTGGACCAATCAGACACACCATTTTTCATTAGATTTAAAGCTTTTATGACCTAAAAGTATGTAGAGAGAATCTTCCCCCCTACTCAATTTTCTCTAAAACAGACACATACTGCTATAGGAAACCACTTCTTTCATTAATTCATAGACAAATTTTTCGATGGCCTTCCTATCATGCATATCCCCAGGTCATTGTGTATGATTACTATCTTCTTGTATATGGTTTTTTGTATTGTATACTGTTTTATGCATGCTTATGATCAGTGGTGGAGGTAACGAATTACAACTACAACTATTCAGGTACTTGTACTTTTTTGAGTATATTTTTAAAGCTGTAGTTTTACTTGTACTTAAGTGCAAATTAAGCAAAATAATCTACTTCATTACTTTTAAATCATAGTTCGTTACTGAGTACACCCACAATTTGAATTGATATTTAAACCTTTGACGGCACTTCAGTAGCCAATAAAGATATCCGATCGTAAAGGGACCAATAACAGCCCTGATATCTGAACCGGGAAAAGCCGCCGCTGCAGCAGGTAAAGAGCTGATCAGACAGTGAGCGAGCTCAGCGTAATTCATGGACTCAAAATTTGGAGAAAACTACATGGTAGTGTTATCATAAATATCAATATTTTGATACCGATACTGAAATATCTGACTCGATTCCATTACAGTATCTACCGAACATACACTGACACAAGCTATTTCCTCTCCGACAGTTTGACACGCATCCGCCTCCTGTCAATTACAGAGTCTGAATATCCGCGCGGGATTGCAGGTATTCCGCATAACTTTAATCATTCCAGCGTAAATGTGGCGAGCGCTTTATTTTAACATGAAAACACAGTCATGTAATCGAAGAAATTTGGATGCGAACTCTCAAATATGCCTAACTTATACAAATGAGCTGCCTTTTCTCTCACTACGATATTGCTTGTGTGCAGACTGTGCAATCGCGATCTCTCCGTGCTTTTAAAGTAGAAATTTCTGATTTGTACATATCAATATCCTAGTCTGTCTAACTGCATCACTAGATTGTACAGACATTAAAGGTCAAAGCCATCTGATGTTCCATTTATCTAAATAAATAGGCCTAGCATACTGTATATGGCTCTAAGTTTAATGGTATTGATCAATATTTATATGTATATAAATAAAAGACTATATTAAAATCTGTTCATCATATAGAGCGAATGTGTCTTTTTAGAAGACTTGGATTAAACCAATTTCAAAGCTTGAAATAATAAGATTGACATAATGATTGCCTTGAAAAAAAATGAATGGAAACATTTTTTTTAAATATTAAAATATCTATATGGCAGTATACAGTATGTGTTAGTTTTGCCAGTGGTATTGAAAATTATTATTTGTTATGAAATCAAAAATGACCCTACTTACTTTTTAGTGCACATTACTAGTCTTGTGGTGAACAATTGAACCATGCAAGTCAATACACTGTAAAAAAAAAATTGTCTGCCGTCGTAATCTTTAATCAAAAACTGCTTCCGCTCTGGAAAGGCGTTCTCGCTCTGATGACATCAGTTTGACGGCTTCATGTAGTTACATCATGTACTAAGACCGACGGCTTAGCTCTTTTTCTCTTTCCACTGGGAAGAAACTCCCACTCACCATCGAGACAGAACATCTTTGGAATTCATCACTCTTCAAACCCGGAAGAACATGATCGCAAGTCCAAAACCTTGAAACCCTCAAGACTCGTCAATGACCAAGGCAATGCAAGTATCGTACATTTAACTAAATGAAACAGAGGTTTAGTATAAGCTATAGACCCCGTTATAAACGGCGCTGATGGTTTTACTCAGGTGGTTAACTGACTCTTT